GCACCATTCAACATGCCGGACTGAGTGAACTAACAGTCCTCAGCAGAGCCACACCAGTAAGGGTGTTCAGAGAGGTCTACAACAACTGAGACTTCATTATATTTTACAAAGTATACTGCAGAATATTTATCCGTGCATTACGATGGATTAGCATAAATAATTAAAATGGAGTTTGCACTGGTGAATGGATAAGCAAAGGGCATTTACTAACGGACCAGCTTGCTCTCCTGCTCCAGGGATTCACTTAGAGACAAGTCCTTGCCAGAGAGGCCAAGGAGGGGCTCACATTTATCCTTTTCCTTAACCCAACCCTGTTGCAAATCACCCAGCCCTCTGGCACAGGTTGGTAGCTCAGCACACCTCCCAAAGGCCAAAGAGGAAAGTCCCCAGATATCAACGTGTCCCTCTGTACTCGGCATTGGTGAGGCTGCACCTTGAGTACTGTGTTCAGTTTTCAGTCTCTCACTACAGGACAGACATTGAAACACTGGAGCAGAGAAGGGTAGCAAAGCCGTGAAAGGTTTGGAGTACAAGTCTTATGGGAGCAGCTGAGGGAATTGGTTTGGTCTGGAGAAGAGGAGACTCGGGGGAGACCTTATTGCTCTCTACAACTCCCTGAAAGGAGGTTGTGGCAATGTGGGGGTGGGTCTCATCTCACAGCTAAGAGCAGTAGGATGAGAGGGAAAGGTTTTAAGTTGCACCAGGAGAGGTTCAGGTTAAGTATTTGGAAAAACTTCTTCTCAGAAAGGATGATGAGGTACTGGCACAGGCTGCCCAGGGAGGTGGTGGAGTCACCATTCCTGGAGGTTTCCAAGAAATGTGTAGATGTGGCACTGGGGGATGTGATTTAGTGGGCATGGTGGTGATGGTTGGACTAGGTGATCTTAACGGTCTTTCCAATCTTAATGATTCTATGATTCTTAAGTCCCTCAGTGCTGTTTTCCATAAACAACCCACCCAGGCTCAGTCCTGCAAAAGGTGCATTTTGGTGCTTCCATGAAATACTGATGATCTGACAGCCCATGTGCCTCAGCCTCCTCTTCTTGTTCCAGATGCTAAGTGCTATTGAAAGATAGCTGGATGGCAAATAGGCGCTCAAGCATTCCCTATCATTTTCTTCTCCCTTCAGCAGGAAGGCTGCGGTGATCTACACCAGCACAGAGCAACCAATGTTGCACAATTCTTAAAAAAAAAAAAAAAAAAAAAAAAAAAAGAAAATGAAGTCCCAAGCCTTTTGCTGGTCTTATTTTTCTATGAAAGTGAAGGCTGCAGATGTCTCAAGGGATGGTATGAAAATAAGAATATCTCCTAGCTACCTCTCCTTCAGACTTTTCGTTAAGGCAGGTTGAAAATTTACCAGAAACTGCCACTGCAAATTTGAGCTGAGCTGCATTTTGTTTCTTTTCTGGAGTGTTTCTGTTATCCAACACATTCTTTGCACTTGCAATTAAAAACAATCTGGAAAATCAAAATCTTACTTGCTTTCACGTCAATTCATTTATGCTCCTGTGCATAAAGAAAGCGTTTGGATGTTTTATGAGCAGCACTCGAGTTGGTCTCCCTGGCCAAACCACTCATCCCATGAGGCCTAGCAGCAGGGGATTCCTGCCACATATTGCACTGCTCAACACACACAGTGCATCAGGGGAGTTGTAGTTACACCTACAGGGACAGTAGTTCGTAAAAGAGCAGGGAGAGACTGAAGCCTGACCTTCAACCCTCAGGAGCCATTTCCAAATAAAACATCTCAAAGATTAAAACAGGATTGTTTGTTTATTTTGTTGGTTTGTTTGGTTTTTTTTTAATGTATATGTACTTATCTGTTTATTTCTCACTGCAAATATTCAGGAGTTCAGCTCTACAGAGGTAATTTTTTTTCATAGGAAAGTTCATATTTTCTCTTACAAGCTACACCATTGCCGTTTTACCATATTGTCATGAAGTGCAACAATACTGATGTCCTGGCGGAAACGATCTTAACACACATTAGGTAAATTCTGCCTAGGGAATACATGTTCAGATGTTTTCAAAAGGTGAAGGAAACAGTCAGCTTCTTTGGGAGCAAATCACATTTCTCTTTGCTATAAGCAGAACCTGGGACAAACTCGGATATAAAGAACAAGGAATGAGGAAGAATCACAAGAAAATCATCTCCTATCATTTCTGTAAATCACTGCCAGTGAAAGCTGAACATTGAAATGCCATCAAGAATTACTCCTTTTTCCCCTGTATATTTGCCCCCAAGGCCTGGATAGCCTAATCATGTGTTTGTATCTGATTCAGTAGATTCAATTATTTCAGTAGATCCAACCACATCTAAAGCAAAGTGTTTACAACAGAGGCTGTGCCAAACCTTATTTATGTGCACATTGGAACAACGAAACATGTGAAGTATCATGAGCCCTTTCCAGCCATATGGGCAAAACTGTACAATTCAATGGAATCCCATCTGCAGTACTCTTTTAAAAGTTCTGGAATCCAAAACTTGTGCAGAAATGTTTGCAAGGCCTCTTCCTGCTTCCACACAAGTTCCTTGGTGTGTCCAGAAAGATGTGACCCTCTTCCATCAGCAGCTTCTCATCTCCTAAATCCTCAGATACAGAGCATTGAAGCATTTGCATTAGTTCTTCCCTAAATACCTTGGGTTTATAAAGAATCCATCTCACCTATAGATGCTGCAATCCCTTTTCATCTTCAGTTTTACAGATACGAAAGCAATCACCTTATTCTTGATTTCATTGTATTGCAAAAATGCTGGTATTTATTAAAAAGTTACTCTGAATGAGATGGTACATAGTGTTTTATTAGGATAAATGGAGCTTTTATTCATAAGCAAAATGGCAGATTTGTAGATTTTGCAGAAAAGTCAGCAATCTCTCACCAACCCAAGAGAGAGTGTAAAGTGTTCTCATGTGAAAAGCAGCCAAGACTGCAGGACAGCACCACACAGTGTCACTACAGCACCTCGAACGTGAGAGGGACTCCATTTCAGAAGGAAAAAAGGTTAAAAGACAACTCATCCGAAAAAAAAGAACAAAGGCTTCGAATGTCAGCATGGAGTACTGCTTCCCTGATGCTCTGCTCCTGCTCTCGAGCAGGTCATTGCTCTCCAGTCACAGGAAGGTCTCAACACACTCTTCCATCACTTTCAGCAGATTTGTTCAGTAGGATTTGATCCTACAGCAAAGTAGGAATCCACACCTTCTACTGAGTTTAAAAGGTGATGAGACTGAGCATATCAGTCTCACGTCTTGGTGTTTTGCAGCACTATGTGTCACCAAGGAGCAGCTGGCCATGTAAAACATTGGGTCCATTCCTAAGAAGGAACAAACCTTTCCAAACCATTAGCATTTTGACCGTGCTACAATCCACACTGCGTAAGGATCTTAAGGGTAATCTCACACCTAGAGAGCTGGCTACAATGCATGTTGTACCTTGACATTTTTTATACCCTTTAAAAACCAATCAGCTCACCTGAACCTCTCTAGACCCATCCACCATCCTTTTACTTGTATCCAGACAGGAGCCTGGGTGTGGATTTGACCCAGCTGCCACAGCTGTCCACAAAAAGAGACGCCAACTGCTCATAAGGCTCTGGTGTGTGCTAATGCCTTGTTTATGCAGCCTGCACAGGCTGACCATGCAGGATGAGCTGGGGTGCAAATCCATCCAGATGCAGCTCATCCAAAGCAGGAGCAGTGTTATGTAATGCTGAGCACAACCCTACAGCAAGCTTGTTACCAAAGAGCCTCCCCCACCACAGCATCTTTCCCCAGCCTCAAACATTGCCTCGTCCTGTCTGGTATTTCAGTTTTTCCTAAAGCAAAAAGGGGTTAAATAATAGGGAAAAAATGTGACAGCAGTCCACATTTTCATAGAAATCCAGCTGGAAAGCAAGAACCTTTGTCCCAAGACACACTTTATGAAAACATTGAAAAGAAGGGGGCAGCAATAGGTGAGTGGTACATAGCAGCACATCAGTAGTGCTGCCTTTTGCTCCTTGCCTGGGGCTAAATCCCTGCAAACATCCACGAGAAATTTGCCTGAAGGTAAAATTCCAGCCCTGTACTCAAGGTGCTTATTCGCAAATGCAAGACAGCACCAGTGAGGAGGGCTTCTACAGATCTAGCTCCAGGCTCTCAGTCCATACAGCCTACAGCACTTTGTCTCTGGCAAACCAACCGATTTCAGAAATCACGGTTAAATCCTCTATCACATAGAACCCTGTGTATGTTACAGCCTTAAAGAACAGCAGCACCACTCTGACCACTGGTAGTCCCTTGGGTTTTCACACACATTCACAACTAAAGAACACTTTAATATGAATAGGTCTGTGCCAAATTCACCGTGTGCTGTAAGCAGACTTATTTTCCTATATTTTTATGAAAGCTTAAGGGATCCGATTTTTTAGGAAGGCAAAACAGCAGTGCCTGACTCATCCCCTTTGGGCCAGGAGATGAGTTTGCTCTATCCGTTTGCTGGCGGTTGGCTTAACTTTCTGGCAGACAGTGCTGCAATGCTCGGGTTTCGTGCACTGTAGGGTGATGCTTACTGGACCAAAACCCCACGGATTTCATCTGGCACTTTTTAAGAGCCGGTTCACCCGGGGTTTAGAAAACCGACTTCATCCACATGTAATGCTCTACGCTGAACTGAAACCGGCAGTGTCCTCTTAAGCACTCTGCGCCTTAAAACCGTTCACAGCTCGGTCACTATAGCCGGGTGTAAGAGGCACACGTTTGAGCACAGCGACGCGGGGGACATGCCAGAGGGAGCCCGAGCCTTACGAGATGCTCATTTTGGAACACCCGATGATAGAAAAACATTAAAATAATAAAAGAAAAAAATAAACATCAGCACATCCCATAATAAGCTCCTTGCCGTCTCCCCCGCTGCTGGGAGCGAGTCGAAGAACGACAGAACCACAAAAGTCCCCCCGGTCGGGAATGATAAAGCGAAACGGCGCATCCCCCCGGGCAGCCCCGCTCCGCGTTACTCACACGAAGCCGTGGTAGAGCAGCGCCCAGCCTCGGGGTCGTTCCAGGGCGTCGTAGATCAAAGTTTGGATCCGGCGATACTTGGCGTGGTTCCTCTTCACCGGGCGGCTCAAGGGGGTTTTCGCCAACAGCCCCAACCCCGGAGGGCTCCGCTTGCCGCCCTCCTCCTTCCCACCGCCTTCCAGCAGCAGCGTCCCGTCGCGATCGGCTCCGGAGCCCAGGGCGAGCGAGCCTTGCTCGGGGTCCCCTCCGCCGCCGCCCGCAGCCCGCCGCCCCTCCGCCGCCCCTCCGGCCCCGCTACCGCCCGCCGCGCCGCGCCGCGCCTTCAGCCCCATGGTGGGCGCCGGGCCCCGGAGGCGAGCTGCAGATCGGCGGCGGCAGCCCCGGGAGCCCCAAGGCCATGATCTGAGCTCCCCGCCCCTCCCCCCCCTCCCCCCCCCCCCCGGCAAGGATTTCTTTACGGATTTATATATATATATACATGGGAGTATATATATGTATATAAATATATACTTATAATACGGGGGGAAGGGGGGATAGCA